AGTGATTTTATAAATGTCATCAATTTATAGAATGCGTTTCGCGCACAAAATACTGTGCATAAAAAACTCTGATGTCATGTCTATAAATATACATAATACCACGTTACGACTGTATTCTAACATTTGCCGACTACGAAAAAACTATCCTAGACTTATAAAATTATTTTCCTTAATTAATACGTATCAAAACCATGTTAGAGAAGCGAGAGTCTCGTGCGTACCTATCGACCTACAATTAACCTTGCCGCAAGCCATTGATAACAGGTCGCAGGTGATCATCTTTAAAAACAAACGGCCAGACCAGTGTTTTTACAACAATTAACACCCAGATCAAGAAATTTGAGCAGACTTGACAGAACAGTTAAAAAATTATCGTCTGGATAAATGAACCAAAATATAAAGTAAAAATTCATTTTGTGGTGAAAAAAGACTGTCTGGATACGGAACGCGGAATTCCGGTTAAACGAGACAAAATAACGTTAAAAAATTTCGTTCCCATTAAAAATCGTCCGAAAACTGAAGCGTCCGGATAACTGGCGTCCAGATATCTGAAGGTCCACTGTATAGGCTTTGTAGACACTGAGTCTGTTCTATTTGACCTATATGGTCACCTAGCTAGACTTGAAAGCCTTGAGCCTTGTTGCAGCAAGATGAGGAATGTCTATATAATCTAACTAAATATATCATATGTCACTTATATTTATTATTATTATATGAATTGTTGTAGGCAAAGGTGTAACATATATGATGTATGATGGACCTAGACAACACAAATTATAATTATTATCCCAAACACCTATATTCAGTGTTTATTTATGAAAACTAAATACTAAAATTTCATTTATTTGTGCACCTAAATGAATAGTGAATAATTTTGGGTTTTTCAATCCCAAATATCCATCTCCTTGAATTATATAAACTCCCAGAAAAAAATGATTCAGTATTGATCGAGAGTAATGCTTTACTTGTAGATGTAAGCTTTATACCGTCTTTCAGTAGATCCACAGATTTTTTCAAAACCTGATAAACCAAAGTGCAATAAAAAGTTGGTTTTTTACTCATTGACAAGCCTTACCGGTAAGTTGAGTGTAGCTATTTTTCCCAATTTCCAAGTTAATAATGATAATAATAGTTCCAAAATACCCCCAAAGAATACCCAAAACGCAGTGTAAATGTGCTCAAGATTAAGAAAACAATTCTTATGTATAATAAACACACCATCCATTTAAATGAACTTAATTATTTATCATTAAATGCTGACTCAAGATTTGAAAAAAAGTATTTTTTTTAAAAATATAAAATATATATGAAATGTAATATATAGATGACAAGGATATACTTATTTATTTATTAGGGGTTCCAGGAAATATCGATGACAGCTTTTGCCACACATGCAGAATATGGACATTTCTGAATGAACTTTTTTTATCACATCAACCCTAATTTGGCTCTATATACTTCATTTTATATATGAGTTCATTTTTATAAATGGTAAATTACATGTTGTAGACTACCAATACATTTTAACATTGAGATCATAAATGCCGTTAAAAGCCTTCATCAGATAGAAAACTGACAACATCTAACTAGCCTTAGGTACTACCAGGATACACTATGACAGTTTATTCTGCACCATCAAAACCTCACTGCCCCCACTCTTTGCAGGAATGAAAAAACATTCATTGCAAACTCATTCAATTCTGAAAACAACTCACAAGCCCAACCTTTTCCCATATGATGCTCAAGTTTTTTTTATATTGTTGGTCACTGCAATGGTCACTTCTTCACCTGACCGACATTAACATGCTTGAGTGACCGTTAGATGTGGGGGTCAAATGACATCAGTTCTCATAAACCAGCTCTGATCTTGTACAATACACAAATCTTCACCATAACTCAACAGGGGAACAGGTACAAAATTTACACCTGTGAGGTGTGTCCGTTACCTTTGATGTTATCAAAAACTCGCTAATGTAGTGCAGCATTATGCACCATACATCACCTTTAGTGGCACTGAAAATCTGCTGATCCTTTTACTTTTCATTAGTTTATCATATCTATCATATCCACTGGGTAAAACAAACCCAAAATCTAATTCATACATAATGATAAACCTGCTAGGTATTATAAACCTTTCACAGAAGCTTGTGCTTTCTTATAGGTGAATTTAGACTGAGGGTTGTGTTCATAAAATTCCTAATATAGCCATCTAACATAGAGCCATAAAGCACCAATAATTAAGCACTGTTTGTGTACTTGTGTGGGATGATGAATTACTCAATCTTTATTACTGCCATCAATGGAACAATTACCTGCTGAATTGGCAGGTTTTCGACATAAGAGACTTAAGCAATCTGTTTATCTAAAACTTAACTGCAGAAATCTCAATAAACTATGTGCCAAATCTTATTACGTTAAAACATTTGTTCAGTTACATCTTGAATGTCTTGTACACTGGTGCATCTTGCCTGCAATATTGCAACTATCATCCAGACATACAAATAGGTAAAGAATGCATCATATTTTTTTAAGGTCCATTGTTGTCTTTAGTTAAAAAGCATTCTGTTTTGTTGCAGTTTATTAGAACATTATGCATGGTTCCAAGCCAAAGATTTATGAATTGTCAAAAGACATTTATAACATTATTTAGGGGTCAAATGATTTACAAAAGTCATCTGTGTCTAAAACATAGCATAATTAAACAACCTGAATAATAACAAAGAGAAAATTACAGGTATGTCCCTTTCTTTTTAACTGTGTAACATCATACATCAAAAACTGCTTTTATTAATATTCCTAAATGTATGAGCCAACATTGATCTTAAATCATTCTGTGGAGCCAGAGGTCGCTAATGGAGTTGCCATTTAACCCAACGTTCACCCACAGAACCATAAAGATCCCCGCGATAGAGTCCCCTAGCCATCAGCTGTGTCCTAGGCTGTACCTGGACCAAGAGTATAACAATCGGACACAAAGAACAAAGTCATATCCTGGTCAAGGCCAGAGACTAAAAGACAAATCTTCTGGCATCTCTCATTCGTTGGACATGCCTGAATGGAAGCAGATGACATTTGGTTGTCTTTTACTCCCCCCTCTAAATACATAAAATACAATGGCCTCTAAACATCTTTTATCAAAATATTAGGCAAAAATTTTCCATTGCAAATTTTGCTTACAGTGCAAATTTTTTTCTTCCTATTTTTGTCTCCTAATTATCACCCTGCCAGATCAAGTATCAGTATTCAACAAAAACTAACAGTGTAGTGTTTATTAGTTATATGACATTTACTCTGTGTCTATATATCATGTAACACCATTTACAATTGAGTCACTGAGTTGTACATAATATTCCCTTTTTTGTGAAAATTTGACCCTATTAAACCATTGGCATGATTCCCAGTATGTTAAGAGAACTTTAATCTCAGCAACAATGTACTCTTAGAAAATTAAAGGACCTTAAATAAAATTGATTTTCATTATTCAGGACAGACCAAGACTTCACAGATTACTTTATGTGATCTGTACTTGTCGAATGAGTGAAGTTTATAATACAGTGTACCTACAAACGAACTCTGGTGAACATTCTAGATGCTTTGTCATAAACTGTGAAATACAGATCTTTCGATTATTTTCCATTTAAAAGGAAGTAATACTACTTTTCAAGATCTAGGGATAAGGAAGCCTGGTTTTTGGGTGAACTTTACCAATAATTATATGTGTATTTAACAATGAACTCAACATATTTTTTCCCTTTACAATTTTCCAGAAATAATTTACAGTATTTCTTTCATTATGGTTGCATAAAATTGTTATTACCCTAGTTTTATAAAGCTTGTAATTGAAACTATAGTTTTTCAGATATATACTTTTTTAATTAAAAGTGGAAGTCTTATTCATTTGGGTTAAATTAACTTAATGGGCCAGATGTCTCTTCTCTTAATAAGTTGTGTCCTGAATTGCACAACTACATACTAAAAATAATTAATTTACTAGAGTTCTACAGCTATAGATGCAGTTAATTATTAAGTTAAAAGAAACATTCCTTAATGGTTTCCAACTTCCCTCAAGGCATAGAAAATTTGATCTTTGTGTATTTCTGATGGTAAATCTTCCAGATATTGGGTTTATTACAATTCTGTCTCCTCTGATAATGTTATTTCTCATTGACTTAATTTTTTGCTTCATATCACATCCTGGGTTTTATAATCTTTTCACAGGTTGCAACATGTGAGCCCAAAAGTTATGAAAATCACACTTTGTCATGTACTACTATGAAGATTTTAGAGGTTTACTAAATACATGTAGTACGTAATATATTCTAGATTTTTGCCTTTAAAGAATGAACTTTAAATGTTCTAATCAGTTCAAATCCTATCTATATAGCTCTGATGATAGATATACATGTGTACTACATGTACTATATTAAACAATTTTGTACCAGTGGCATTTCTCAATTTTAATTTCAGTACTCAAAGTTCAGTTATATGTCCTTTGATCTTTTAGCAAACAAATTAAGGTAAAGATACAAATAGGCCTCATTCCCAAAAACAATGACCTTTAACCTGCAGAGAATTTTAAACCTATATACCTCTTTTGAGACTATTATTGTCAAAAAGTTGAGTATGAGAAAGATAGAAGCAAACTTTTCATGAAATCACAGAGAGCAAGTTCAGGACAATGACTTGAGAAACAGCAGCACTTTCATTTGCTCTAACACCCCCCCCCCCCAATTCTGTGAACTCAGACTGGAAAATCAAGAAAATATAATCAATTTCAACGTGGATCACAATATCATTTGAGATTCTCTATCAAATCAAGTCAGTCTGAGCAAAGCTTATACCATCTGTTCTACAAATCATTTAAAATTTTGCAGTGTATTGAAAAAAGAACATCCAGGTTTATACATGGTATTTTTTTTCTAAAGTACACAGTTGTTGCTGTGATTTATTGGAAGTTATTCCATACTCTGTTCTTTTTGTTAACACAATAATATTCCTACCTCTGACTCTGGGATGAAGCTGCTGGGCCCTTTGCCATATATTCTTCTGGGGATCTTTATTCCACTGCAGTTCTCCTATACAAATAATCAATATATAATCAATCAATCAATAATAAACATCATCATTATCACATTAAACAATAAATGTAAAAAAAAACTGCATGTTTAATTAATGCTTATAATCTTTTCAGGGCCTCATTTACATCATGTCAACAAAATCTTTATAATCTGCATATATATGAAACTTCTTTTATTGACAATGCTTTCAAGACTTTAAATGCACCCCTAAGAAAATCAATGCAATATCAAGGACCTCTTCATATCTAACAATATCTTTACTTGCAATAAGGTTTTAGGATAAAGATTCAAATCCTCTATAAGTGTCAGAAAGGTGAAAGTTTTTCTAGATCTATATTTAGATCATGAATCAGCTGTGAAGTGAAATCAGCTGATATATGCTAGAGGAGAGCTGATCAGCTGATATTCAATTCCCATCAGTCATATACCTGACAAATTACCTGTGTTACCTGGATGATGACAAAGCTAACCACCTTGACAAGTTTATAGCAAATCTGTTCATATCAAATCATCATCTATCAAAAATTTACTTTCTCAAAAGATATGTCTGCTGTTTATTCAAATAATATTTTAAATGCTTTTGAAAATTTATGTTTTAAGGTTATAAGGTCACATTGTGTTTTAAACATAGCAAAATACTTAACAGAAATAGCAAAATGAATGTTAATTGTTTTTCCCAGCATGTGATAAACATATAGATCTCATTGATGACTGAAAATTTTACAAAATGATTAATGTCATTTACAATGTCTACACTGATGCAAATATTTATGCAATGCACTCCTCTCTTTCGAGTTTAAAACAAAGAATGCAAGAAGATACTGAAAAATAGACAGATAATTCCTTAAAGAAAACAACACTAGATAAATTGAACAAAGGAATGAAATCTCCACACCATAGATAAGACCCTTGAATCAGCTGATCACTGACAGCTTAGTGGGAGGTCTGATAAAACTGTCCCACAAAATCTTGATGTATTGATGTGAATTATATCTTTTTACGTTGACACTCACAATTAGCTTGGAGCCAATCATTAGTACAGATGGGTTCACAAGGAGGATGAAACATCATCAAATTATATCGACTGAATCAGCAAGACTGAGAATATTTCAAGACTTTTTATGATCATCTGAAGGAAGGGGGGAGGGATAGGGTGTCTGAAAATTTTGCGAACAAGTATGATATACAAGGTACTTTTTAGAGCCTCCTAATTGACAGGGTATTGAAAAAACAACCTATAAGAAATCCCCAGGTAATTAGGTCAAAAGCTCCTAATTCTGAAAAGACATTTAAACCTTTTTTTTTTCTCTGCTTGAGCTAGGGATGAAAAATCCTACACAAGACTTGATGGAAATCTCTTGGAGTCCCAAAACTGACAAGGCAGTTGTTATCTTTTATTCATCTTGTGTGTGTTTGTATGTTTTAAAAAGAAAAATAATTTATAAAACATTTAAGAAGTTTCTTACTGCATTTAAAATTAACTCCTTAAAAAAGGAACAAAATACATGTACGGTATAAATTCAATCCAGTTTTCCAGCTTTAAAAAAATACCTAGAAGTCTTTGTTTTGCTCTTATACTGATAATTTTCACTTCTTGCACTTTTATATCTGAATTAAAAAAAAAACAAAAAAAAAACAACAAAAAACAAAAAAAAAAAAACCCAAAAAACCACTGCAATTAAGCATCCTGTCAAATCTGTCCTTTTTAGAAAATAGGGAATGGAATTCCTTGCAGTGACACTTCAGTCTGGCATTTTAAGCCATAAAGTTTCACATAAATATCTTTAAGTGAAGACATCTATTTGCCTATGTGCATGAGTCTATACAAGACTAGTAAAGATTCCAAATGCATTCTTCAGTTTTCAAAGTAGAAAAAAAAAACTGAAATAAGATACCAGACATTTATTTCTTTTCTGTTCCCTCCAAGAGAAACGGAACTAAAATTGGCAAAGGAAGAAAACTTCAATATGATCATCACAACCACAGACATATCAGCACATCTGCATAAAATTCTTCTTTTATTTTGGAATATTAATTTCTAAGCTCCAAAGAATAAGTGCCAACAATATTTTAACTCAAATGTGGAAATCACTTTTCAGATTCTAGTTCATGTACTGAGAATCTGCAGCCAGGTTCTCGCACCACTTTTTGGGACTGGGGCCGGGGCCGTTCAAATTGGGAAAATTTTCGTCATTTTTGGGAAAATTGGGAAAACCTGGTTCCTTATTGAAGCCGAATCAGCTTACGAATATAGGTGGCATGGACTAATTTATACAGTTCAACGCAGAACTAGTTTGTTTCACTTTCACTTGATGGCAATTAAGTTTCATCGATTAAGATTTTATATAAAAAAAAACATTTTGCCATAAAAGAATTGGGAAATTTACACTTTGCTTTTGGGAAAAAAGGTACCTTTTTTGCATTGGGAATGGGCTGCTCAAAATTCCTAATTATAGAGAATCGAGAGCCCTGGCGATAATGGTACAAAAAGCATGTGCGGGAAACTCCCTTTTTTTATTTAAAGGACAAACGGAAAAAAAATAGTACCTAATGGCATTTCTTTACCTGTATTGTACTTTTTCATGCTAAATTTCACTTAATATTGGTGAACTTGGGAATTGCCATGATAATAAGTTATTTTAGAACAGCACTTGCAAAAATCGAATAAAAAAAAACCAACATATGCCTTGATAAGCATGTCTAAGTCTAGAGTGAAAAAAAAATTAATCTAAATCAAGGGCAAATCCATTAAGCTATTTCTGAATCAATGAAAAAGGTAAATTTTAAGCTGTAATAAACTGTTTGCAATATGCTTTAATTCAAACATATCTGGAAAATTATTCAAAATGAGTTCAGCTGACCAAGAATTTCTTACTATTTATAGTAAGAGTGGCCTCCCAATAATAAACTCAGTCATGAACTATTCAAACAACAGTAAATATACAATCTAGAAACAGACCACTAATTAGGACCACTGTGTCCTAAATGAACACCATATAAAACTTTTCCAGTTCATTCGTAGATCAATACTAATGTTATAACAAACAGGTCCATTAGGGTTGGAAAAGTTTCTAATACATTCAGTCACATGCACAATTACAACTGTTATATTGGTGGACTCAGAACCACTCATATTGTGAGGATGTTTATGCACACATCCCTGCATGGGGTCTCAGACTTCTATCCCTCAACACCTACATCTGACCCTAAGGGCATCCCTCATCAAGCACCTGCAGGTGGCTGTCAAATTTACAGCTATAATTTAATATAAACATTACAAAGTGCTGCACGATCCTGCATCTTTTGACATTTGTTAATTATAGCTGTTTATTTTGTTGCTTGTAATTTGAAATCTCATCACATCAGATGAGTGATACAGTTGTCTAAATTCAATAAGCCCTTATAAGTCTTTCATATTACTTGCATATACATAACTTGAATACATATTCAGTTTACAACTGGGAAAATATTAACAAGAAATCTAGAACTTAGAAAAAGTAGAAAACTTGGGGGAAAAAATCTATCCTTACCATCAAAAAAAAAAAAAAAAAAAAAAAAAAAAACCAACCTGAGTTACATGTATAATTATAATACTGTCAGGATTACATGTATTACATATTCAGTGAATCTCTTTGCACAAGATTGATATATTTCTGTTTGACAGATGGGTGTAGGTAACCCCCTGTCATTTGGTGAGGAATGGACACTTCCTGCAAATGGCACCAATGAAACCACTGTTCTTGGTCATTAAGTACATATACAAAGTATGAGAGTCCATAATTCTTCTGAGACAGTTGGTCGTCGGTCAGGTTTAATCGCTGGTGGTCAGATTGCTCAGTTAATTAGTAGAGCTCCTGACTAGTGAATTCATGGGGCCCAGGTACGAATCCTGGCCTGCATGGTCTGCTGCATTTTTCTCCTTTCCTGTTACATTTGGGTTCTGTGTCATGCCCTGGAAGTGACAGGTGAAAAACCTGCCAGGGAAGAGCCACAGTTGTCTTCAAGGGCGAAGACCTTCCCCCCAAAGACCTTTACGAAGGGTGGAGTGTGGCCGTCAGGCAGGTTTGAGCAGCAGCGGCCAGATATCTCTCATTTCTAGAGCATTTGACCAGTGATTCAGGGTTTAGAATTCAGGTCTGCTTTGTCGCATTTTTCTCCTTATCATACAGATTTACACTTATTGTAAATCAATTACTGTAAAATCAGATATTTTCGTGTGGTCAAATTTTCTTGGTTTGATGAAAAATTATGGGTTCATTGGGATTTGATTTCGTGGATATTAGAATTGTTGAGTAATTATGTATATTACATTTTGCATTTCGAGGGGGACATGAATTTGTGGGTCTCTTCATACCTCTAAAACAATGAAAATTAGACCCCCAGGAAAATTGGTGATTTCACAGCAATTAATGAAACTTCTCACAAAACCAGACAAAATTTTCTAAAGCCTTAATTAGACTTTATAATAGCCAATGACTTTGTATTTGCATTCTACCTCTAATATGTCTGACAAATGTTGTTGTGGTGCACTTGTTCGACAATAAGTAGAATAATATGTATACAAAAGATCAGAAAAGTGACAGAAATTAACACAGATTAGAAGTGGGAGCAGCGGTTGAAATATACCCGACGTCTGGGGCTAATCGTTTTAAAACTTGGGCTAGCTTACTTAAATGCAACAGTAGTACTAATTCAGACTAGAAGAACAGAACTATCTTCAAAAACATTTAAGTGAATTTCAAATGTTTTAAGAGCATTTGTAATCAATGAAACTTAAGTCACAGGAGTTGATTAAGGTAATGTCAAGAAATAGTTTAAATGGAGTCCCTGTCAGCATTAAATGTACCCAGTAACCAAAGGTAAAACAAAACTGCAACAATGCAATCACGAATGGACAGACCAACATAATTAAAGCATTTAATCTGTAATTAATCCTTTAATTTATACAGACTTTAGAGATGTAGCAGGTTAATATGTAATTTAATCTGCACCTGGGTTTTGATGTTTAACCTACCCTTCGCTGTTTACAATAATGAAAGATTTCTTTATATTCTACTTGGCAAAACTATCAAAACTGAGCCAAAAATTACAACACTGGTGTATTAATAAATAGTAAAGCCCCAAGATATCACGTTTTATTGATTGCTGAAAAAATACTCACTAAATTTATAGACAAAGGAAAAAAAACATCAGCAAAGTCTCTTTATCTCAGGAAAGTATTTCAACAATTTCAATATAAAAAGCAGAGATCTAAAATCATGAACTGAGAATTAACAGGTGATAAAATATATGGCTCCAAATAATATGCCGCTAAGCAACATAACATTTTTGTTTTCCCCGTACATTAGAATTTCCTTCTGGTAGGTCAAGTCAAGTATGAATCTTAATATGCCTTGAGGGTTAAAATGTATCATAGCTCACTTTATCTTCAAACTTTTGATATACACGAGATTTAGTCTTCATTAAGATTTTGAAGAAAAAAAGAAATGGAATCCATTAATAATCATTTTTTTTTTTATTCAGGTTGCCCCCCCCCCCCCCCAATGAAATCCATAGTGAGCCTATAGCAGTACCAGTATTTATTGTACAAGCATGGAAAACTATTTCTATTAGAGTATGTTTAATCATGCAGTACATAAATTTAAATTAAATGTGCATAAATGGGACAGAAACTATTCCATTTTGAGGAGATCTTGAGCTGCATTTTCTGGTGTGGTTTGTTTTTGGCTATAAATCTTTGTTATCATAAATAACCCAAATATTTTCGAGGATCATTCCATCACAGATTTGAATCAGAGCGTGAATGTTTACTACGTTAATAAATTGCGTAGTTACTATATTTGGTGCCATTTGATAATGGTTAAAGACAAAGTTTTGCATTACCTGTGAATGGCAGTTTTACATAACTTATTTATCAAACTATTTAGAACACTATAATGACAATATCTGTTTGAAATTCTTTTAAAATGTAGAAAGAAAAATTATTTGTTTAATAATGGACAATCAATATCTATCAAATGTAAATTTCATAGGTTCTTCCTTCTGTATAATTTACATGCATCTTTTGTTTTTGGTTTCGTTTAGCATATGGAATAATAATTGCTTTCAATATTACAATACATTATTAATGCTAATGTTAATAATTGGATAAAGGATTTTGTTCACAGGTTAACAATAAAATTGTGTTTTGTATGTTGATCACCATATTTATATGTATTTTAATATACATTGTTTATTTTGAAGAAATAAAATGAGAGTACCTGTTGTATGAATAATTCTGTACATTATTTGTCTATATATAAATACTTATTAATACTATCCTCTGGTTTAACTGAACAAATTTGAGTTTATTACAAATATCATTCTCTAATTTTCTAAAGCAAATTTAGTGCCATTCAATTTCTGAGAGATTGCTAGAAAATACTAGAAAATGCTGGAATTATCATTTAGTAGATTGTTCCACAATAACTAAATTGTCATCATGCTCTTTGCTTGGCAAATCGATACAGTTTCATTTATTTAGTGAAATATGTATAGTAACAACAATTGTTTAATGCCAACTAAAAACTTCACTGAACTATATCAATTTGGCCTGCAAAAGTATCCAGTTATATACAGAATTTTTCACATGATAGCTTGGCATAAAAAGTTATACATTACATTTTCTGCATTTCCAATAACTATATTATACTCATTAATTTTGTTGTTGAAATATTTATGAGGTTAACGATTTGTGAATGAACTGGCAGTATTTCCAGATCTAACAGGAAAAGACCAGCTATTCCACAAAGCAGCTTACCAAATAGAAACACAGGTTGTACAAAAAAGGAATGTCAATATTTAGAGTTTGGCTATAAGGTGGCAATACAAACACTCCTCATTGATAACCTATAGTTAAGTTCTAGCTTCAGTAACAATGCAGACCTTAAATCTATAACCAGCAGCGTATTGAATTCACTCATCAGCAGTTCTTACTTTGGGAGTGGGAGGTCTTCTTTTATTTAAAACTATATTAAGAATTACAAACCTTTAGATCAATTTTCTGGTTTATTTCATGGCATTTTAAATTTGAATACCATTTACCACTTTTAACTGCACAGTGAACAAAATATACTGTCAGCAATTTTCTACGGGAAATTAATTTCATTATCTAGGCAATATTCTGTATAGGTTATATGGTAAATTAATGTGTAATTCTTGCATAAGCATTTACCAATAGATCAAATACAGGGACCCTAGTGACCTTTGATATTCAAGTTCAGAAATTGAGAATGTTTTCCAATTTCTTATTTTACAGGTGTTTAAGTAGAATTCAACGGACTGAGGGAGATGATTAAAAAAAAAATCTGTTTGTCACCTAGAATGCAAAACTTCAATTCTTTACAAGATCATTCTATCAGTAATGCATTTTTTATATTTTATTATTTTTTTTTTTTATATGTGTATGTATCTCATATTTGCACTTTATGAACGGGATAAGATTCTGCCCTATGACCAGTGCATTCTACTTGACTGATAAACTGACCACAACTACGCATTAACAAGGGCACAGTGATGATGTAGAAAACCTACACATCCTGAACCCAAATAATTTACTTCTTTGTTGAAGGAGCAAGGGTTTGTCATATGTACACAGAAGCCTGATCTTACAAAATTATACAACATACATCCTTAATTCAATGAAAAACAATGAGCATCTTGACATAAAAAGCCATCTTCCGTGTTTAATCAAACTGCTAACAGCTAGATAATGCGGACTACGATCTTTAGCTACTGAGAAATCTTTCAAGTCTTACCACTATAATACACAGCTCTGTTGACTATTGTTATATATATATTTTTTTGCTTTAATCTGTTTAATCTGACAATATCACTTCATTAAAAAGATCTACTCTACAAGGGATTTTCTGATCAAATATTTTACATCATAATTACAAAAAAAATTCCATAATCAAGTGCAGATTACTGATGCAATCGAGATCACGATTACACCTTTAATTTCAGTACATTAGACATGCTTAACCTGGGATTGCGGTGATCACAATGGATTAAAATGTTTTCAGTTTATGTAGGATTGGCCCAATACTTAACACACAATTTCTTTATCTCTTTCATCATATATCTACAGAAATATAAGTCAGAAGTGCTTTCAAAATGCATTTTTCCTCGATTCTACATTCAAATCCACTTTAAGGTGAGAAAATAAATTTATATAATACTTTAAATATTACTTTACATACACAAAGTCTTATGCAAATGTGACCAATGAAGGGTTCAGATGACGTAAATTATAAAGCACTTCTTCAGTACATTTGAACTCAATAGACATCACCATGAACACCTAATTCTCTTCCACCTGGTATAACATGCTGTATAGCAAGAATATGGAAGAGTGGACATCACTGATTTCTTAAGAATACATGCATTTTGAGAGATGTTCTCTCTCGCAAATATGTTGACCTTTAATCAACATTATTCCGTTAGAATTCTTAAAACTATTTTCATTGTGCACTTAGAAGACGGTTCATTTAACTGTTTTGTTATCTCAAATGATTTTCCAGGTATAACATTTAATACCATATTACTGCAGGTAAAATAAAAGAATTTAGCATATTCAGGAAGATTTTGTAAACACACTTTACCACAATATAATGAGGACAACAGAGTGTTGAACAAGATATAAGTCACATTTCCATGTTGATCACCGTGTCCTTATTGGTGTATGATTAAACATAATGTAGGAAATATTTGTCAGCATACCTGTATATCGGCGAGGAGATTTGTACACCACTCCCTTACATCTTCAAACGGACAGTTGGTGGACAGTCGGAGAATATCCGGCAGGTGCTCCTCTACTAATGGATTAATGGGAAGGGGGTTTCCATTGTCCACTAAGATTCTGTCTTTTGGACTTCCATAGCCATTTACCCAGGCATCTAATGTCAGTTTGATCATGTCAAAACCATGCTTTCGAGCATTAGGATCTCTACTTGCCAGAACATGGAAGAAGCGAAGTGAGTCTTCATCGCGAACACCATTCTGGTTTACAGTAGATGCCATCAATGTTGTATCCTGTACAAAAAAGGAAAAAATATACACAGATGAACATTGGTATCTCAAATGCTGATATCTCGATAACGATGGATATGTTTAAGTGAGTTGGAAGTCCCAAGCCACTTTTTCTTTATACATATTTTAACTTCATTATCACAAACCCTCAGCTATCTTGAAGTTGATCCCATCGATTTCAAGATAATGAGGTTTGACTGTAATAGGATCTGTGAAAGAAGTGAAGGATTTTTATACATTTTTTTGACTGACAAAAATACTGATCATTTATCTATTCTTGGCTGCATTAATGTGTTTGAAAAATCAATTTACCATGATAATAACAGAGGAGGAATGGGACAATTACCAGACACCAACGCCAGTTTACTCTGGAAACAAGAGAAGCTCTAATGCCAAATACATGTAAATAATTGTGACAGACCATTGACCAGCTACAAAATTTAAATAAAGACAGCATCAAACCTTGATATGTCCCAAATATTTACAGAAAACTTTTGTAGCCATGTTGTCCATTAGACTTTAGTGGGCCATTAGTGTAGAAATGTTTAAAGGTTTACAACCATCAAGAGTCCCCCTTTTTTGCAATAGATAATTACTAACACAGATTTACTCTGCCAAATAGTTCTACTGACATTAGATTTATAGGGTAAAGTTATATAAATGTGTGGCTGATTAATACACTGAGCACCTATTTTTGTAGCTTACTCAAAATTTTGTGCAAATAAAGATCACAGATTGTTTGGTGCTATTTTGCATTTGTGTTATAAAAATCACAGAGCATTTACATTCATATATTTCAATAAAAAATAATATTTTGGTAACATTCAAGATTTACCAAACAGCTGTGACTGACTCATCAAATTGCTAAAATGAGAAGAAAGGGGTGGGATTGAGATAGTACTTCTTTGCCTAAATTTTGGGTAGAAAATAAAAGACCAATATAATTTATAATCAGAAATATTATCATTATTGGTTAGATATTTTAAAAAATGTGTCAACCTGTTCCCCATTTTTTTTTTCTAGTAGCAAAAAATCATAATTGCATTATACAACTTTTTTCAGTGAAAAGTCGGAGTGAGTCCTTGTTTGTTGTTTTTCTTGTATATTTTCCCCGATTGCACTGTACAAAAGAATTGAGATGAGTAATAGCTATTACTGGTCCACCTGTTACACAGTAGCTGTCTTGTGAATTGAGTCATCAGAATTGATCTTTCACATTTCTATATTACAATTGTTACATGTTTCGATCATCTTCTTTAAAAGTATATGTAAAAATCTATGTCCTATCAATCATACGGCATCATATAAACTAAAATATGTAGAAACATGTATGTTATAAGTAATTTAAATATATTAATTGTACTTAAAAAATTAAGTACATATACACTGTAATCATATTACGTGATCAAGCAAAGGCAAACATATAAATACAAAGAAAAACATCTTCGCTAACCAAGGGTTTTCATTTCGCTCCGCTCCCTGCTGCAAGGTACTGGATCAAAAACCCTTGTCTCAAGAAGATTAAAACAAACGTTAAACATCTGAAATTTTCATCAACTTTGTAACTGCAACTTGACAGAAAGAAGATGACAAATTACACCAAGAAGATGGTCCCTTTAAATTCTAGAAAAGTAAACTAAAAGTTGAACTTCGGTATCTCGAAACTGATATCTCGTATGTCAAAGTAATTTGGAAGTCCCAACTGCTTATTCTTTCAAGTATTATACCCTGGCTTTGATATCTCGAATCCTCAGATATATCTCAAAGTGTTTTCTCGGTCCTATTGAGTTCGAGATAACAAGGATTGACTGTAGCATAATTCAATCTCCCTTGCATAGTTGTTGTTCGTTCCTCTCTCGGACACCTCTACAATGTGAATTTTATGCCATTCGACAACAAATTTCAACAAGCGAGTTTATTGGTTTGTAGAGACAACTATAAAGGGTCAGTAGGTGGATAAAATATACAGGTTGGTTTATAGAATATGTCTACAATTAGGGAATGAAAGGTTGTTGATTGACCAATGCTGGAAAGTGGCGAAATACATTCCCAAAGTGCGCAGAAAATCTTGCGTCGTAAATTGCACAATATTTGCATTACGAGATCTGTAGCGTTATGGTCAAAGACTAAAATATAAAACCATAATGCTGCAGTTCTGCAGCTATAAATTTATATATGCGAGCCAACAACAGAGTTGAATGTATGAGCCAATCATAGGCACTCCCCATCTTTTAAAATTGTTAAATAAAATATATATCTACTATACTATAAACATAATGTTATGTTTATAGTATAGTAGATATACCGGTATATATTTTTTAACAATTAAGATGGGGAGTGCCTATGGAGCCAATGGCAGAGTGTGAACTGTTCGAGGTATTCATTTACAGATTCAACCCCCCCCCCCCTTTACTTCTCTGCCACCAGAGACATCAATGTTGTACAGGGTGCTTACCAACTATTTTATAAGCAACCTAGCCTGAACACACAAACCAAATTTATCATAAATCAGGTCAATTTTTTAAAAATAATTAACATCATATGAAAAGGAAATAAAGATATAGCCACAATAAAGGAGCTAAAATTATTTTTTTCAATTGTGAGAAATCAAGAGGGATATCTGCAAAACTGTATCAGTCATCACATGACAAGCTTACTCCTAATAAAGCAAGGAATTTATTTTGACCTACTTTCTTTTACTTCGAGGAAATTCGGAAAATAATACACATTTTGTATTTCATCCTTTCGAAGGAAATGGCCAAATCAGTAAATTTGCTTAGTCAGCAATTTCTGATTGACATGTGCTTGGGCAGTGATGATGCAATATATATCTAGGGCCTAACGTTAGATCTAAATAACATTTCTATACCTCACAACACGTCACATACAGCAGTAATTTAAAAATTCTTTAAATACATATTACGTTTCCTTTTATCTATAACAAGTACCTTTGTATTGTTGTATTGCATGTTATCTTTTTATAGTATACCAACTTATCAGCTGATTTGAAGGCTCCAGGTAGATACATTCTGCTACATGAAGGTAAAGCCCGTGCGATACATAAAACTTTTAACGTTTCAAAGGGGGAATTCAAAATATTCCATTATGGACAGTGAAGATGTTTCTCAAAAAAATGTACAAAGCAACTTACCTCTATATCCTTAGATACTTTCAGAGCTGTATTTTGATTATTTCGCATTAAAAACGACTTGAACAGCGAGAAGACTTCTCCACAACTAGCGCTGACCTTGCCATTAGGGGGCGGAGTTACCCTCCTTTATGACCAATGAAAAACGGGAAAAGAAAGTAATTTATTTTTAGTAGGCTAAGTTTTCCAATACGTGTACATTGAACAAGATAGCGGAAAATTTTCGTTATAAATAGATAGTTCAAAAGGGATGCCTTTTTCAATTTATATGCATACCTAAGTGATCTACTTCAATTTCATTAAAATATCAAAGATGGTTTAGTCACCTATATATATTTATTTTAATTAATATTTGACATTCTACTTATATTTATTTTTGGAATGCATTTATACTTTGAACAATTGAATATATTATCATAATTTAACATCGGGTTGGGGGATTGCGGGATTCTTTTGAATCCACAGTGAGATAAGTGTCTGGTCCCCCTTTTGTGACCAAAATTTTACATATATTAAGATTTAAAAAAAAAAAAAAACGTTTCCCAGACCCTTAACCTGCCCCCTTTTTTTTCAAGAATTCTGGATCCACAACTGCGCTGCTTTGATTTGTAAGCAAACCATGCAAAGATAAAGAATACAACAATCATTTAACTATCTGTCCTAAAATACCTAGTGACAGATCATGATGGTATGGCTAAATTAAGTTCAGCCTTTGTTTTATCAATGCATATTGAATACAAATTTAAAGAACATTTCATCCTGAAGTCTTCTTTATATATTTTGAATAGGCCTGCTGGTAAACTGATACGCATCCATTGCAATGTTTGATGTCTTGGCATGTCATTTTTTTGCATGACAGTTCTTGATACTTTATAATACTGCCTTTCAATCAAATAAATAAAAAAAAAAAAACACAAACAAAGGGTGAAAAAATGAAAATTTTATTATACTATTTAATGTTTTCTTTTGATCCCTACTCTTTGGAAAATAATAATAATAAAACATAAATAATTAATGTATTATGAAAGTCTGCACAAATCTACACATAAAATAGCTGATCACAAGCAGTCAGTTGATATAATATAATTATAAATATAATATAATAATTAATTATATAAAACATGAATGCACAGCTACTTTTTAATAAGAGTGTAAAATTAAGACAAACTGATACCAGTATTGGTTTTGGATATATAAATGTCATTACAGAACTCCCCAAAAGTCCTCTAGCAGTTTTAATTTCGTTCATTCCAAAACTGTCTTAGATTTTCAAGTCAATACCAGTAATTCACACTAAGGTCCATATATATATTAAAAACAACAAAAAGACGAAGTGCAGTGCAGTAAAACAAATTATGCAGGTCACTGTTATATCACATCTTTCAAGTCAGCTCAGTTATCAAAACACACTTGACATTAATTATGCATATTAAAATAAACTTGTGCACATTACAGATAAACATATGAAATAATTACATTTTCTTGGTAGTTTGTAAAAATTCATTACATTAATGAATAAGTACACCTTCTTGGTAGATAGTCTGTCCAAATATAAAATATATGTCAATAAAAATTATCTGTAATTTCCCAAAACCCAATGCAAAATTCCTGTTAAAAAAAAAAAAGACTGTTTCATGATAACTGGATAGCTGTGGTAGTGCTCTTTTTCAGGGCAAATTAATATTAAGATAGTTTGGTGATGTAACAGCAATTGTTTATTAATCATCATTTAATCAAGTGTGGATTCAGGCATGGCGCACACCCTCTCTAAAACTTTATAAAAAAAGATATAGTTTATACTTTGAAATTCATACATTGATTTCAAACAGGTAAAATTATATAATTTTACCTGTATGAACTATAAACTTATATATTTATATTTATGTACTAAAATGAGGATTTCTAAATTGCCCATGCACTCTCAGGAGCTTTGTCCCCGGGCCCTCGACTGGACCTGTCCTTGACCTTTGACAGTACCAATGCCCCTGGCATCTATTAACACTTCTCTAATGCAATATCCTGGATCCAGTTAATTCTCTGACTACTCAAACTCTACCAAACTATATTAATTTACCCAACAAAATAGAAGTATCACAGTTATGATGAAAGAGTTAATAAACAATCATCATTCATCATAATGAAAACAATATTTTAAACTACCATGATAGCAGTAAACATATATCAACAAGGTCCATCAAATTAACAATAGGAAAAAAAGACCTTGATATAATGAAGAACAGTCCATCATAATAAAATATCACAAAGAAGACAGTTATATAAAATACACAAACAAAAATTCAACAGTACATTGTAAACCCTGACCAAACATGGCTGACAACAATGGACGGAGGTTTTTATATGTAGCTATAGTCACTGCAGCAGAAAACAGTAAACAATAGAAATACTAGGGTGCAAAAAATGCCATCTAGGCACATGTTAAACATTGGTTTTGTGAAAATAAGGTATCTTGAAAATAGCAGCAAGGTTGTGTACATAGATACAGTGAACATAATGAAGCCTCTAAAATAGTCCCCTGGTGAAAGAATTAAGGGTGCAATGGGCAAAATACTCTCAAAAAAACTAAGCTAGCACTATTTTAAAAGCAAATATTGGTAAATATCACAGACAACATGCTAAAAATAAATATAAATAAGAGAATAACTACTTTAAAAAAATATTAAAATGTATGAAATTGATTAATAATTTAAGAAATAAATATATTTCCAATTCAAAAATCAAAAAATGCAACAATATATATATATACATGTAAATAAAGACAACAAAAATTAAGCATAATTACTCCAAATCAACATTTAATGAAATTTACTTAAAGATGACCATTTTGATTTCAAAGCTAAGGTGCATAGATTATAATATATTTTTTTAATTAATGGGCAGTGATTGAATGCTGGCCCTGTAAACACCACAATGAATGTCAACTGCAGATCAAATGATCTGATCCAGATCATTGAATATCGATGGCGGATCTAATGGCCTGCTCCAGAAGGCTAATCCAGTTGAACTTTTCTTCCTCTGTTTCCACAGCACAGTGAAGAGCTCTCTTTGGGGTTTCTAGTTTAAATCCATATCGTATATCTGTAAAAAAAAAAAAATAATTAGAATTTAATTAAAAATTAATTTAATTTTCTTTGAACATGCTGAAACCTTCAACACAATATTCATACAAATATTCTCAACACAATTGCTTCTTGTGACAAGTTCTGTAAATATAATACCGTGAAACCACTAATTTTCATGGGGGGTTAATTTTCATAGTTTTTTTTCAAGGTACCGGTATAGAGACCCATGGATTCATGTCCACCACGAAATACAGAATTTTAAATGAATAAATACTCCTCATAAAATCAAAATCACCAAAAGTTCTCATTGAACATACAACAAATAAGTAGAAATTGCATATCAAAACAATTGCTGATAAATGCAGGTCAACATACATTTGTAGTGTTGCAAGAGAAAAATCTTGTTTGCTTGGACCTGGCAACAAAACTTCTACCTCAAATTAACACACCTAGAAAATCCTCAATTATCATTTGAAGAATGACGATTGTGTAAAATAACATTTCTTTTTTTTTTTTTGCATAGTGAATCGTCATTTTGGAATCCATATGCATCTGTTTCACATCATTCACTTAAACTATGTGTAGCCCTAATCATTGCCTTACAGTCTTTGTCGTAAGACAGAATTTTTTTTAAACCACTCTATTCTTACAAACCAGACTGATTTCACACTCTTCATTCATATTTGAAATAACTGATACATGTATTTCTCACTAGTACTGGGGCTTAATTTTGGTCACAAATTGGCTGTAAAAAATAATTTCCTGGTATATGCTACTTCTTACTGGGTCCACAATATTCTCAAAATCCTTCGGATATTCTGCTGTCCCTTTCAAAATGTTGTTGATCTGTGACTTAATTGCCAACATTTATTCCACTGCAATCATACAAGATTTTATTCAGGGCAATAGATAAAATGGCCACCAACTACTCACAAGTTGCTAAATAATGCAAGCAGCCATGTAGCCACTTCTTTAAGTTCAAGTAACAAAACAAGAAAAATTGAAAAGGGGGGGGGGGGGGCTGAAAGTGACTTGTTCGAAATTGCCTGCTAAGACACTTTTGATGTAGTATTACACAATAATAAGCTAGATGTTATCTACATATGCCTTATTGTGTTTTAGAATACAAAATGTTTCAAACTGAATCAATAAAGAAAGCACAATTATCTTATTGCTCCTGGTCATGAATCATCACTATGCACACCCATACAGAAAATAATAATGGCACTCTAAAATCTGTAAGGTAACTCTGAGGACATTACAATGATATCACATGAAGGCTGGTTAATTTGAAGTGTACATCTTTAATTACAAAACCTGTTTTTTTTATTGTAAGATAATTAATTTTTTTGAGAAGCATGTAAATTAATTTTTAATAAATCATGTATGAATTACATCAATTCCAATGCAGTCACGACAGATGTATAAATACAGTGGTTGTCAGGCAATGCTTCACACTGAGGCCTATACCTACAACACCTGGTAATTCAAAGAACACCTTCCTAATAAGAAAGGACCCTCTCTAGATCCAGAAGTGTTTGAGAAGTTTTAACCCTTCACCTTCTTGGTTCCCAATGCAATAGGTCAGAGTACAACATTTAGCAGCAGGATTCATCTTATCCACCCTTTCAATCCCCACCTTGACAAAATGCAATAACCGGTTACAGTTTTACCGGGAAAAATCAATTTGAGTTTGATCAAACAAAGCCATACATAAATCTTAGATGTAGCCTTGGCCGATGCTTTACACTGAGGTTACCTGTTTGAAATTACAGGTAACGACATCAGAAAACTGCCAAGTCAGCCCCAACTTGACACCTATCTACAGATAGTGCATGCAGAAAAGCAGGAAACTCGAAGTACACCACATATTTCATCAGAGTTATTTCTGTAAATCTGTACAGAATGAAGTAAAAAGAAAATTTTTGCATTTCACTTTATGGTCTCAGGTCTCACATAAATGTATTGCTTGCATTCAGATGATTTATTTTAAAATCAGCTGATTCATATTCAGACTAGTGGGCTTATTCTTGATTGTGTGACTCACAAAGACTCTCAAAACCCTTCTGGTAACAGATACAAATGTGTGCAGATCTGTTTTTACTAAAAAAGAGTCCGATTTTTTTTTTTCAAACTTGAAAATGCTATTACTGAATGTGCCTATAAAATTACAATGTAGGTGGACAAACAAATACTATGGTAAAAGGATAAAAAATTAACATTAAATATTACAGGAGGGGTCTGTTATATTTAATAAGAAATTAAATCTTTCCTCATTATCTGTCATAGCAAATGTAAAGTGTCAACACTGAAAAATTTAGCCAAATAGGGCTCGACCTGCCATTTTTGAACCAGTATTATACGCCATATAACAACTTAATGATTAATGATGGCTGTTCAAGTTTTGGGGTGATGAGATTTTTCATTATATAGCTCATAGGATACCTATATTAGCCATCAGTGGAGGGTTACATTAGGGTCACTCTGAAGTTGCTAGGAAAGGTTGCCAATTCTGGGCTCTCTTATTCCTAAAATGTTTTTTCCTTTCCACAATGCCATCGAGTACAAATCTAAAGATAACATTTTGAACTGAAACTGATATCTTTAAACTTTTTATAAATTGTTTTCATGGCAAGAATTAAGAAAGTACAATGTTCTGAGCACTTAAACTGAGTACAAACCCTCACAATGTGTTACCTTGGAATAGTTTAATGGGACCCTATTGTCTGGTAGTGTTCAAGGTTGAACCTCCTGTATAGAATTATGCAATAATTTTAATGTATTTTTTAAAATTTTTTACTGCATGGTTTAAACGATTGAAGCCTCAGACCTATATCGCCGAGTGATTGAAAAAAGGATCTTTTCCAATCTCTGCCTCTTGAAACAAAATTGAATGCTTCCTACCTTTCCAATTAAAAATTGTGTGAAACCTAACTTGTAACCAAAATCTATTTAATGGTCTGTTTAACAATTTAAAATTGGGAATCTTGCAAGACATTGCTTAATCTGCATGCATTTTCTTACTTTTTGTGCAATATAGTACTTCATATAACATGGCCGAGAACAAATCTGTTACAGACCACAAAGCTGCTGTCAGTGAGGGTGATGTAAAATGGACCAAGATAAAGAAATTGATTTGTCTTTTAAAAGGTGTTTAGCAGAAGAGTATGACTCACACTTGAACTTAAAAATCAAGTTGACTTGTTAAAACTGATGCAGCTAATACCAACAGGCTATGGTCTTTGTCCAGCATATGTTGCTGGTCATTGGATAACCCTAAAGTTTAAACCAACAAACATTGACCTTCATCAAAGCTGATCTTTATTTGTACAGAACCCTAAAGGTCAGAGCTATCGCTTTATTGCCGTGTTTGGCCATGTTTACAATGTTCACAGCAAACCCCTGACCAGATAACAGACCCCTCAGCAATCAGAATTCGGACACTGCCTTCAACAGCTGATACGCAAATCTTGGTGAAGGACATTTTTATATAAATCAAATGCTAACCTGATAAAAATTCTCAGTGCTGTTTCTCTTAAAGCAGTAAACAATAATGATTTTTTTTTTTATGGAGGTCTCTAAGATAAAAAATAAATTACTACTGGTTTACAAACTGGCAAAATACCAGAAATGAGGTATTTTTGGAGAGGCAATCTGACAACAAATTTCAAGCCTACTTGGTCCATAGATGAAGAAAATTAAATTGTTCTCAAAAGAAATTGGTCCATCAAGCTCAAGCTTTTTCCTGTATTCAGCTTCTTCTTTAATTATCCCTTGAATATCAAGGGTTAAGAATAGGGAAGTTGTCTACATCATTAAGACAACATTTTTCAATATACATGTAATTGCTAATTAAATTTAAGAGAAATAATATGATATCTCATCATACACAAGTACAGACAAATGACCAATAATCTTTATCTTTTGACCTGAACCTGTGGTTTAACAGCTCCAAAAGCTTAGTCATTCTTTTATTTTCCTTGACCTATGCAAGGAATAACAATAACTTAGGTTTCAAGGAATTAGTTATTGAATCATGCAGGAATGTTGAAATGCATTTTAAAAAACTTCATCTTCTGACTTTAATACTTAACAAAAATTTCTTCAAAATTCATTTTGACTGTTATGATATTGCTTTATTCAGTCTTCCCTGTGTAGTAAATATGAAGATTTAAATGGAAGAGGCATAAGTTGTATTAAAAAAACCCAGTTATTTTGATCTTGACCTTTGTTTTACTGACCCCCCCCCTCCCCATCAAAACTGTCTTCCTTTCACCATCTACTGGTGACAATAGACTATAAACTAAAGGTATTGTGAGCAAGCTCAAAAAATAATACCCCCTCCCCCTTGCTGTAATTTCTTTAAAATGCCCATTAGCATGTTTGTAAATGTGACATTGAACTTGCCAAAATGACCTTGGTTAAAAAAAAAAGATAAATACTCTAGTCATAAGTATATGGACATCCAATGTTTCTCCATTAGAAAATCATAGACCTGAAATAAATTTTAAACTTTTTCTGCCAGTGCCTTTGAACTTGCCACAATGACCTTTAGTCAAGGTAATGACATACTTTTAGCTCAAGTATAATTTTTGAAGTTTCAACTTCCAACAAAAATCTAACTTTTTTCTACTAATGACTTTGAAAATATGACCTTGGGTCAAGGTCATGACAAACCTTCCAGAAATAAGAGCTATGAACTGAACAACGTTTATCCATGAGAAAGTTATAGGACTGCATTCTGTGAGAGAAAGAACTGATCTCAGCTTGGACATGATTTGAACACTTTTTCTGCCAATGACCTTGAACTTGCCAAAATTACCTTGGGTGAGATAAAGATCAATCATTGTGTCAAGTATTAACTTCCAATTAGCCTCTATTTGAGAGTTAAAGACAGGACAAGAATAAAACACCTTTATGCTAGTGACCTTGAACTTCCTGGAATGACCTTGGGTCTTGGCCAACACATACCTCAGATTAAATGTAGCTTTTGTGATAAGTATGAGCCTTGATTCAAGGTCATGACACACTTTCAGGTTATAAGCTATTTTTATATGAAATATGATCTTTCAATGTTTTTTCCATAAAGTACTTGTAGACCAGACAAGAACTTTTTCTGCCAGTGACCTTGGATTTATTGGAATGACCTTGGGTCAAATTTGTGACACATCCTCAGGTCATAAACAATCTCTGTACCAAGTATGAGCTTCCAATGTTTCTCCATTAAAAAGTTATAGCTTGGACAAGAATTTTATACTTTTTCTGTCAGTGACCTTGGGCTTACCAGAATGACCTTGGTTCAAGGCCATGGCACACCCTCAGGTCATAATCTTTGTACCCAGTATGAGCATCCAATGATTCTCCATTAAAAGTTATAAGACAAGAATTTTATACTTTTTTCTGCCACTGACCTTGAACTTGCCAGAATGACCTTGAGTCATAAATGTTCAATCTTTGTACCAAGTATAAGCTTCCAGTGATTCTCTCTATTACAAAGTTATAGCCTGGACAATATTGCACAGACTGACGGACAGCTAGACAGACTGATGAGGTGATTCCTATATACTTCCAAACTTCGTTTGCAAGGGGGGGGGGGGGGGAGGGGTAGTTAGAATAATCTAGCCCTCATCACAGTTAGAATATGTCCCATATAGTTGCAATGTAGCAAATCGAATCCGCTCTGAAATGTTTTTGAAGAATACAAAAGGGATTGCGTTGAAAATAACTATCAAATTAATCAAAGCAAACCTTTTTGAGATGGTATATGCCTTTTATCCTAAAAAATACTCCATAAAAAGACAAAAATCCATCTTATTTTCTCAACGTTTTTTCTCGCTTCAAATTTACACGCCATGCTGACATTCGGAACTCTCTTGTTCGTAGTAAATGCACTGAGTTCAAGTTATCGCCCATGTTTATTTTGCTACATAGGCAATACACGGAACAAATTCCATTGTTAAACCAGGTCCATAGGACAATATCATTTTAACGATAGAACATTCTATCTGTGGGGAGGGGGGGGGTTATAATTACTAGTGATCACAAATTTCGTAAGTGTTTATAGACTAGAAAATGAAGATATTGATTACTATAGGACACTAGCATTATGAAACAGGCTGTAAACAAATGGATGATTGAAACCATACACAATTAAAACCATATACACTGCTGAGAAAGTTCTTATATCAATACTCTACAAAACAGATGTTCTGACAAACAATCTATAAATAAAACAATGAACAGTACAGCTTTTTTTTCCTTCATCAATTATCACTAAAACTAGTCATTTTTAATTAAAATCCCTACAACTTACAGTGTTTTAGCCAGAATGTAGCTAATCTAGAACTTGACTTTCAAGTCAATTTGAAGGAATATGTGTACAAGCTATGTTAAATGGATGGACAAAGCAAACAACTCACTTGACATAGATTTACCACAAATCACCAACTATAGGTATTTTACACATTCATGTAGAAAGATATAAGAACTATGAAATGCTTTAATTTATGGTCTTTCTTTTAACCCCCCCCCCCCCCCCCCCTTTTCCCACTAAATGTATCATATTCTAGCTGCTGGGGTTATGAGAAGGAAAGTTATTCCTGATACATTTCTGAAAGTATATCTGCGCATTTAATGCTTATCTGTAATTAATATGTAATTTGTTAAAACAAAGCCAAGGTGACATTTTGACAAGGGAGAATTACGTAACACAGATGTCCCAGCAGGTGGCCAAAATAAACAAGTCATGGGCAAACCTAAAAACCAGGTAAAGTGGCTACAGCCCTGATTACACAGTTAATATATCCTTGTTCATACTGAATATCCACAAAATCAACTGTCCTATCAAAGGGGGTAACTTTGTATGGTCAACTAATGATTGAGGGTATCTCTATGCAAGGTCATTCATGAACAAATATGTAAGATTGGTTGACCAATGACCAAGCATACTAATTAGTAAGATCAGCTTAACCTTCACAATTATGCAATGTATATTGTCCTTTAATCTTGTAGACTACAAATCTATGAAGAAAGAAAAACACAAAGACAACATTTACACTGCATTAAGAGACGTGCATAGTAAAATGTAGTTATAGGTCTCATCAAACCCAAGTACTTCCTTTTCATAATACTTATACATACATTTCTACTATATGAAAACTAAGTTCTTCACAAAGTCACTTCTATATTTTGATGTATTTATAGCGACAGTTGCTAAAAATACTTGAAAATATATATAGAGATACTTAAATAAATAAAACTGTTTCATACTAACCTAAACCACTTAACCCTGTAAAATTTAGTTACCTTGAACTTCTGTGCTTTATGACCTACTTACACAGAAATTGCCTGAACAAAGACATTAATTATCTGAAACCTTTAATGGCCTAGGATCCAATGGGTAGAATTACCTATAGATATAAAGTTAACTCAATAATATGTATAATCAGTAACAATAGACAGAATTAGGAATAAAGACCAATACAACTTGTTACACACCGGCAATGTTTCTGTGTTTTACTGCTGACAAGATAGGTAAAATAGACACACAACAAAATGTCAAACCCTCTGTAGTTGGTGCTTGATGAACAAGTGTAGCAAATTGTTTGTACATACATCTGTATGATGTGGGGGTGTCCTGAACTCAGCAATATCATAAAATCCTCCAAAGACCTATCATTCACTTAATAGAAAGCTCAAGTGTTTACCGCAAACCTCGTATCCACTTCACATTTTCAAGCACAAATTATACCACACATTCCAACATCAGACTACAGATAAAAAAATCTTTTAAATAGGCTGGCTGCTATGTCAAGAATCTGCTTCTTTGCATTTAATATCAGACATTTTCAGAGAGATACCATCTATCTTTTGCACCTGGTCCTTGATTCAAAACATAATTAGTCTCTTACATTTGCATCTCTTACATTTACACCATATTTCCTCAGCAATAATTAATTCTAGTCACTCCCAACAAAATTTATCATAAATACACAAATAAGACAAGTATAATGCATTACTGCATGTTCTGTTGCCCTATTTACTAAAATACATTCTTTTTTTTTTTTACATCCACAATAATCGTCCACTTACATTTGGACTCAGGGATGTCTCGGACCCTCAGCCTGGACAAAGCTAGACTGCTTTCAAACATATAAGTGTGTTCCCTGGCTCTTGTGAATGGGAAGTTCTTGTCCGTTCTCCTGGTCACCACCAGAGCATCATTAAACAGAAAGAGTCCCAACATTTCTATGTGCTGGTACACCCTAAAATAAAACAGGTTCAGAAAATTCAATAATAATTAAGTAAAAATAAGTAACTGTAACGCATGTAAACTTTATTTTAAGAATAATGAATTTCTTTTTCATCTAATGTGAGTCAAGTGAAACAATCAAGAGCTAGGAATACTAATGGCTGACATTTATAGACATCTTTGTAGCATTATATTATAATTTTCAACCTAAAGTAAATACAATTGTTAAAAATGATTTATCTCCAAATCTTTGACCTCAAATAATAAATCAAAGGTCTGAAGGACATCCATTCCATTTGCTGGAGGTTTGTTGGGGTGAGATTCAAAAGATTATACAAAATTTATGGCTCGTGACCCATTCTGTTCAGCTGAGTCAAAAATAAACCAGACCCAAGTTACCTTCTATCATAGATGTATCATTGAAGTCAATTGATAATTTTTTTTCTTTTTTGAATTTGCAATTTACATCCAACTTTTAGGCAGACCGGACAGACCCAAATTTTAAATATCTCCCACTTTCAGTGAAAGAGAAGAATACAAGTTTTTTGCCAACGTTCTGAAGATAAACATTTTGATAACATTTTCTCTCAAAATACTGAATTTAAAAAAAAAAGAAAAGAAAAAAAGAACAGCCTCAGGCAACAATCTTCTACACAACTTCATGCAGAGATCAATTCTAGGATAAATCAGTCTGATTACAATATCCTATCCTCATTACTTTAGGTCTATCCGGTATATTAAAACAACATATATAATTATAAACAGCCTTTGATGTGAGAATACAGTGTGTAATATTGTGTGAATTAATCACTGTTGGATTTGCTACAATTGACTGAAAGCAGACGTGAATGTTTTAGCTGATTAATCATATTGGCTTAAAAGTTCAGCTGAATTATGATGTGTGTGTCTAAGAAACTCAACACCTGAACCTTTACGTTTCATTAATTTACTCCATGAACTGGACTGCTACATTTATTGTCCTTTCATTATGTTCAATGCCATAACACCAAATAATGAAGTGGCCCTGGCAGAAGCTGATCAAATGAATTTATGGTTTACCGGGGACACCTACAGTCCGGGGTAATGGACCATGTTTTAACACTGCTAGTTTCTTGTTAGCCTTGATGTAGTTTATAATGAGATTTTCCAGATTATGCAACAAGTTTCTTTTAGGTTCCTAGACACATTATCAGTTTTACCCCAGTAGGAGTATATAAGCTTCACAGTGTTACTCAACCTTAATTATACAACCTGTTTTTCCCACTGTGCTAATTGTCAGAAGTTAACACTTCTGTTTGCCTCCCTTTCTTTTGGAACTCTTTAGGAAAATGTTAGTTTTCCTGTAGAGAAAACAGAAAAGAGGGAATCTGTTAATGAGTAGGATTCAAACCACCAAACATAACTGGAAACTAAAGAATGCTTTGATATTAGAGAAACTTCTAATATATGTCTGGTCTGCAGGTTTCATTAACTGAGATCTTCTTTGGTTTAGTTGAATAGTTTATGCCAATATTCTGCTTCAACATGTTTTCTTTACAAATTTAAGTTCAAAGGAATCCCTGTCAACAAATGAGTGTATGTTTCATGTGTTTCATGGCAAAATTTCATTAGTCTTTCTATCACTTTCTTATGCAAGACACGATTCAGCTGTTGAACCTAAATGTTTTTTAATTCTATTTGGTCTCAAATTCCCCGCCAGACACTAAGATATAATTTATTTTTGCCAAGGTTTGCTGTTTTGCTGGTGACAGAATGCAGTTGTCTGTCTGGTAACTAACCGAAAAGCCACTGAACCGGGAGCTAGTCTGATTCAGTAGCCTTTTTTATTTTTTAATACCTGTCTCCAATACAAGTGAACCATTATAATTTAAAAAGAAAACAAAAAACTTCATTTGTATTTGAATATAAAATAGATTTTTTTTTTAATCAAAAGGGCTAGCTATCTAATCTTTTTCAATTCTCCTATTTCATTAATTCATTTCCATATTTACCCAGGTTTGGATACCTAACTGAACATTATAATCACATTCAATCCTTTATTATAAGTTGATGAAAACTGCAAGTGAATAAAATTATCTAATTTTTTAAAAATTTTATTTTAACTCTTTTTTTTAGTTGGCCAGAACACACAACTTTTGCTGAATACAGAATTTGCTTCAGTAGTTTTCCTGGTCACTAACCGGACAGCCACCGAACCAGACCATGTCTGGATTAACTGCCATACACCCTATCTGTAGGTGAGCGATCCATCTTAAAACTGAAAAGAACCATTTGGACACAAAATACTATTGTTTATACAATGACTAAAGGTTTCAGGCACTGTTCACTGTCATGACCAATCTTAATCTATGACAGGCTAATAACTTTTTTTTTTTAACCAACAAATCAATGTTAAGCATTTTAACCTTGAAAATTATAATTATAAATGTCTTGTTTTCCTGTTGGGAAGTACTGGGAGACAAAGAGTTATGAACCCCCAAGTATTAAAAGATTAATGCAGAATCAAGAAAACTTTTTTTTTTTAAATTCCTCCAAGCAAGATGAATTAAGATAAAACCTATATTTTAGAATATCATGACTTAACATTCTCCTTTAACCTCTAAATATCCTCAACAAAGGAACAAAATAAATTGAATTATATAGGTAGTTTTGCAAAACTGCAATTCTCCATTGTAAAGATGCTAGGATTAAATTACAGGTCCATTTCTCTCTGAAGACAGCCATGCAATTCAAACTTTGACATATTACCCTTGTTCATTATTTGTGGGGTTGAACCTTTTCCCCCATGCCCTGTCAAAGCTAATGGACATTGAACTCCAGGGCTATAATAGTATTGCTTCCAAATTGTCAACTTTGAGCTGCAAACGCCCCCTAGAACTGAAATGTGGTTTTTGCAAGCATCAGCATTATGAGACTGTTTGTAGAGAAAGAACAATGTCCACACAGTAGATGACCCTACAAAATGTAATTTTCACACACAAAAAGATAATTTCACACTTTATACCTCAATCAGTCAAGAAGTTAACATTTCTCACTGCTTTTGCTTACAGAATTAATTGTCAGATTTTCTTTAAAGCAAATAACTAGTTCATTGAGTATTTTAATTTAAGGTACATATATACATAATTTTTATTTGATTTTTGAAATTCTTTTTTCATATCCAACTTATCATTTCTCATCAGACTGACCCTTTGTGCAGAGAGACCATCTATAGATCATTACAATGTGCACTTTATACAAGCACCTTTATATCAATGAATGATAAGTGTGTATCTAGAGAACTTCAACTCTTAAAAACTGATAATGTTATAAACTAGCTCAAAACATACTTGATTACATATCAATATGTCCTTTCCTAGATAAAGGTAAATGATTTAATGATTTAGTTTGTCTCATGAATGAATGAAACTCACTTAAGATATTCTCATTCCTTCTCATGAATGAAACTCACTTATTACAATATACCATCAGATTGTTAGGTTTTTCCAAGCCTTGCTAAATTTGAGCTCAATATCTGGAAACTTCCTTTTCAAGTTAAATTGTGATGAGATTAATAAATTCAGTAGTTATGTTTTATATGTACAAATTCAGCCAGCCAATTACAATTCACAAGATAAACATTGGTAAACTACCTAAACAACCTTGCTTCAGGGGTGTTTTCATAATTTACTAAAAATAGAAGTTCTTTTTTTTTGTAAATGCTTTATGCATCTGAGTATCAGAACACCCAGATAGACTCTTTCCATAAAAAAAATGTTAAAGCTTTTTTCTCAATACCCTTTCAATTAGCATGCTTGTACAAAAACATGCAGCTGACAATAGCCAATATCTCATATTTAATTTTCTCATGTGTGAATTGATGTACACTACAGACTATCAAATCCAAAATTTCCATGACTCATACACAAAAGACAGTCAGATAATTAGCATTTTCTAATCCTTTTTCTCCGACATCTACTTGGTAACCTGGTAACCCCCCCCCCCCCAAAAAAAAAAAACCATAAGAAAGAAGAAATAATATGAAATGCCTTTGTCAATACAAAGTGAGTTTCTGATAAAGCCAGATTTCCATAGGAAATCATTTCAGAGATTTAATTAAATGTGCAACATTTTTACTTAGTTTTTGGCTTCATTAACTTTCTACGGAGAGCACTTTGACACCCTGTCTAAGGAAATCACTACAAAACTGAGACCTTATAGGTGTTGTATCACTAATCTCTACAGGAAAATAGAAGCTGATGTCAGCTCCAATATACAATCAATACAGTGTGAGTCACCCTCATAGAAATAGAAATGTCTGATAGCAATAGTAAAACAACTCCATTCAATGCATAAAAAAATCTCACATTTTAAAGTTTCTGCAGATGCAGCTCTTTCTTGGTATGCCAAGTTTTTTTTTTTCATTTCTATCATTTGATTTGAAGTTTTTCACAAGTGAAACATCAAGCTTGTGGTAGTTTTCTTGCCAATAACCAATTAGGAAATCTTCTACAGAGAAGGATATATCAAAGCAAATAGGGCTAGTTTATGGTTCCATCTAATGTAATTTAATTGAAAAAAATAAAATTAGACATTTCTACTTTCTTCTGTATTTGTCTGTCAACTGCACTTAATTAAATTCATACGAATTTCCATGGTAATAAATGCTTTTAATGAAAAATTGCTTTGTCTTGCATATACAGTTTTTGTAACATTTTCTTCAAACAACTGTTGTAACATTAGATGTTTTAAAAGTGCAGTGTCAGCTTAGCTTTATTTTGGGGGAACATGTTATGTAATAAGCACTTGGATCTGCATGCATTTGCACTTTTTACACAAAGAGATCAAGACCCAACAGAAAGAAAGGGCATTAAAGTTCAATTGAATTATATTTGCCATCTACAAAAACAATTCAACTTCATTAAAACTGCAAAGTACACAAGACACAGAAGGAATTAATAAGTCAATCGGCTGAAATTGAGGTTAACTTGGTCATTATGTGGTCTATGGGCAGATAACTCTCTGAATAGAGCT